AGGGGGAGGGACGGGACATAAGAACAGATAAACAGAAAGAGGTCCTGCTCTCAAATTGCTATGGCCCTATAACAGGAATGAGCTGTCCACGCTGCTCAATCTCCAGTCTGTTACCTGGTTCTGGACAGAGGCGGGCACAGGGTGGGAAGACTCAAGTCACTGCAAAGGCCGCGGCTGTGGATTCAGAATTATAAATTATAAACTGCCTTTGGGTGCAGATGCTCCCAGTGCACTTGCGTGGTCCACTTATCTCTGTCTGATCGCTGGTTCAATCCTGTCCAATCGCTGAAAGCCTGTTTGTTTCACCACAAACAGAAGGGCCCCGCTGAACTCCGGCGAGGACAGCGCCCGCAGCCAATGCTCCAAGGCAGCGGTTCTCAACGTGTGGGTGAGGGGGTCGAACGACCCTTTCACAGGGGTCACCGAAGACCCTCGGAAAACACATATATAATTACATATTGTTTTTGTGATCAATCACTATGCTTTAATTATGTTCAATCTGTAACAATGAAAATACATCCTGCATATCAGATATTTACGATTCATAACAGTAGCAACATTACAGTTATGAAGTAGTAACGAAATAATTTTATGGTTGGGGGTCACCACAACATGAGGGACTGTACTAAAGGGTCGCGGCATGAGGAAGGTTGAGAACCGCTGCTCTAAGGTGTTTCTTTGGGGGACAACTTAAGTGGGTGCAGCTGTGACGCCTCTTTTTCCTCTTTCCACCAAAACAATACCTGAGAGACGCACAGGCCCTGCTCTGACTTCTACAGTCGGGGCGCTGGGGGTACCATGTTAGCCAGGACAGCTTCTCTGCCCAAGAAACAGTCATGGCCCCTGTGTTTGTGTCCCTCTCGCAGGCGTTTTAAAGCACTTCAATATTAGCTCGTTCACAGACGCCTCCCCTCCTCCCCGTGCGGTAGGTAGAGCAGGTTTTGTTATCACCGTTGTGCAGCTGGAGAGACTGAGGCTCCAAGAGGTGACATGACTCGACCCGGTCACATGGCTCAGCAGCAGTTGAATCCAGGTCTCCTGATGGTGAGCCGGATGCCCCTCAGCCCGAGGATGAAGGTGTGGCCATCCCTCCCCAGACAACTGGGCTTAGAGTCCCAGCTCCGACTTCACCAGCTACGTGACCTTCCGCAGGTGGTTTAAGGGTCTCTGTGCCTCTTTCCCCCATTTGTAAAATGAGCAAACGAGCCCTGGCCGGTGGCTCAGTAGGTTGTGGTATCGTCCTGTGCACCAAAAGGTGGTGGGCTCGAGTTCCAGTCAGGGCACATACCTGAGTTTCGGGTTCAATCCCTGGTCGGTGTTTGTGCAGGAGGCAGCTGATTGATGTTTTTTTCTCTCTCTATGAAATCAATAAGAAATAAAAATAAAATGAGCAAACTGATAGTCCCCAAATCCCCATAGCTCTTGGTTACTGGAAATCTTGCATTGTGTGGTTTCCTGTTCTGCCTTTGGAAGTGGCAGCCAGGGGACCTGATGGAATATCTGCAAGCTCAGGATTACCCTGGAAGTGGGGACCAAAGTTTTGTCCCCACCCAAAATATGCCCGTTAGGATCATTGATTTAAGCTTGTTATTAAGAAACAAAAGACTCAGAAAAAACCTTTGACCTCCCCTGCTTCCCTGCCTAAAGGAATTCAGGGAGAAGAACTGCTCCTAGAAGGCAGCCTTAGCATACTCACCTCAGCATACAAGAAGCAAGTCTGGCAGATGGGGGTGGGAGTGGGGGAGATCCAGGCAGGTCTGTTAGACCCCCTCTGTCTCTCATTGTTTGTGGGGTGAGCAAGAGTTTGTTTACCACATTTTCTTTTTCTGTGAGTTGCCTGCTTTCAGTTGAATTCTCAGAACCCTTTGCCCTAAATGGCATATAAGCCTCTACTGCCCAGTGTGTCTTTGGGTGTCATATCTATGGCACCTCCACATGTGCATCCATAATGAATTTTGGACATTTTCTCCTGTTAATCTGTCTCGTGTTAATTTGGTCATTAGCCCAGCCGCAACCCAGAGGTGGAAGGACAGGTCCTTTTGTGTGTCCCCACACCTTTCAGAATGAAAACAGTGTTGAGCCAAGTGGTCTGCAGCCTGGAGCCCCCTCCAGCCCACACAGCCTGCCTGCACGTGAGAACCGGGGCTTGGGCTTGGACGGCAGCCCCGGGAAGGGGCGAATTCCAGCAGAGCCCCCACCAGTGGGTGAGAGTGGAAAGGTCGAAAGGGCGCCACTCCTGCCTGAGATTCCAGTGTCAGCTCTGCCACTGAAATCGGAGAACACCTCGGACAAGTCAGGCGCACCTCTGTTTCCTCATCTATGACAGGAAGGGAGGATTAGATAGTGGCTCAGCTGCCTTCCTGGTAACCCCAAAGGGACTTGCTGCAAGACAACAGTGACACATGATGGGCAGTTTCTAAAAACTTGTTTTATTACAAAAAATTTCAAACAAATTCAAATTCAGCAAAGCAATATAGTGAACCCCCACAGCTCATCTTGTTTCATCCCTACCTCCACCCCTCCCACTGGAGGGTTAGTTGTGAAGTTCCTTTTAAGTGAAATTTACAAGCATTAACATGCAGAAATCTTAACTGTGTGATATTGATAAATGGAATTGCCCATGCAGACTATACATCTATCAGGATAGAGAGTATTTCTACTTTCCTAGAAACTTCTTTCGTGTCCATCATGGGCAAATGTATATCTGACCTTATCTATACTAATAAAAGGGTAATATGCAAATGGCCGGGACGCCCTCACACATAACGACCGATCAGCTGGAGGCTGCATGTGCACCAGGCGCAGGTGGGTGGGGGCTTGCAGTGTAGGGGACAAGGGTGGGGCATGGTGGAGGGGGTCTGCAGGCCTCCCTGGCTCCCGCCTTCCTCTCTGGGGCAATCCATCGAGGAGCCCTGGATGGGTGGGTGGGGCCTACCTCTTTGGGGCGATGGATTGCAGGGTTCCCGCACTGTGACAGGGCACAGGCCAGACTGGGGGACCTCCCCCTCACCCCAGTGTAAGAATTTTGTGCACCGTAGTTAAACAATAAAATTAAACAAATGTGAGTTGAGCACCTGGGGTTAGCAAATGCTCTCTTTGGGGCTGGCTCGTCAGAGTCTGATCTGGAGTCCTGAGCTGTCCTGCTTCCTGCTTCGGCCCACTCCTGCCATCCTGTGTGTCCCTGGAGGGTGTGACCTTCTGCATGTGCTCTGTGCCCAGTTATCTACTAGGGGCCTTTGCTGCGCTGGCTGCAAATTCTCAGAAGCTCTTTTCTTCCTCCTGCCCTTATGCTTCTCCAGGTTTTTTCATTTGTTCTCGTCCGTTTCTCTCTCCTACAACTGCTTCCTCATAGCTGCTACTGTCTCTCTCCTCTAGAGTGTTCTCACCTTCCTGCGTTCGGCCCATCTTCTCTGAGCTCTGTCCGTTGTCTTTGGACTGGTCATATCCTGGACAGTAGACACTGAGTCATAACCCAGGGTCCAGCCCAAGGGCAGGCAGGTAGTCAACAGTGAGCGAGTGAGTGAGTGAATGCAAAGGGGCCTGGCTCTGTAGACACTTGCAGTCTAGTAACTATCGCTGTCCACTAAGGGAACCAACCTGTCAGCCTCGCCATTTCCGGACCACATCTATCTCCTGCCTCCAGCAAGAAGCTATTTATCTGTCCCTTTGGAAGCCCCGGCATTTGAAAGGAGGGAGGCTGATTTCCTGGCAAAATGTGACCCAAAGGACCATTCCCCTTTCCACCTCCCATCATTAAAAAAAAAGAAAGAAAGAAAGGAAAGCAGAGCAAGCTGGGCTATCAGGGATACTTCCTGTTTTCCTCTCTTGAAAGCATCCTGGATAGATGAAACTGAGGGATCAAAGGGACTGTGCCTCTGGGGCTTGGGGACCGGCAGGATGGCTTTTAACCCTCTGCTGACTCCTACATGTGAGTGCACAGGCAGCTTCGGTCTTACATTTCCTGGGCAGATCTACCTCGGAGGGCAGGGGCCTTGCCATTCACTCATTCATCAAACACGACTGCACTCTATCAAAGGCTTTGTTTGAGGATCTGGAGATACAGGAATGAATATGACACAGTCCCGGGCCTCACTCATCTAACAGCAGCGACCGTAGTACTAAGATGATTGAGCACTTCCTCTGTCAGGCACTCACTACACGCCTCTCATGCATTAGCTCCTCACAACAGGCGTATGGGGCACGACTATGGCCATCTATATACATATCTAAAGAGGTAATATGCAAATTAGGCTGGGACGCTGTAACAGGTCACAACAGGACAGGAGGAGGAGATGGATACAGAGACAGGGGAGACAGAGCTTGGGGGCTCGGACAGCCCTGGAGCGGACACAGGCAGGGGGGCCAGGGGACGCTGCGAGTCAGGCGCGGGTCCCGGCCCCCCTTGGGGAGCCTCCTCGTGCACTAGGCCTCTAGTTTTACAAATAAGGAAAGCAAGGCTCGCAGAGGTTAAATAACCTGTCGCAGGCGCAGGACTAGTAGATGTCAAGGCTGGGGTGAGAGTCCGGCGGCGCAACCCGCCCTTTTAGCTGCTGTGCTGCCGGGAACATGACAGTGACTCACTGCAAGTCGTTTTTACAAGAGCAGTTTATCTCTGGGCTTGGTCAGGTGGCACCGCAACGGACTAGAGCACAGGTGAGTCTGCTTACGGGCCCCCAAGCCTGGAGGCAAGGCCGAGGAACCAAGAGGCCCCATGTGGCCCAGTTCAGGGCACAGAGTGCGTGGGCTCTTGCTTCTCCTCTCCCACTCCTAGAACAGATGATAGGTAACAGCAGCCAAGTGAGCACACACTGAGGAAGTTGTCTAGGCCCTGGCTTACACCATCTCTTCCATCCTGGCAAAAATAAATAGTATTATTGTCTCCGTTTCTGCAGGGCTCATATCCAAAATCACACAGCGAGACACAGAGCCAGGATTTGATCCTAGGTTTGACCGACTCTAAAACGTGCACTTTAATTAAACCGCCTCCCCGATGCTGAAACTTGGCAGAGAGAGGAAGGAACTCCCTTC